GTAGTATTTGTCTGGTTGCAAGGGGGTAAGGAAATCTTTCTGCAAGAACATCGAGTATTTTCTCGACCATAACTAATCAAACTCTAAAGTTTACTAGAAGTAATACAATTTTAGATGTATTTTAATTACCTCGCATTGTTCGTACAGCTGCATCTCTATAGTCATTAAATTCTTCCACATTTCGTACAAGGAGTCGTTGAAAGCCTCCCCGAGGTCCACGATGTTAGGCTCCAGTTCCTCCAAAGTCGCTTGTTTGGTCATAAACTTTGCTATCACCTCGTTCATTTGATTCACGAGTCCTAGCTTCTTTTCCTCGAATTTTTTAACTATCCTATAATTTTAAAAAGCCTTCGATAGACAACCAAAAACATCAGCTGCCACATTCTGCGTTAAACATTTTCGATAATTTAACTTACTCTTTACTCTTACTAACGCTATCAGCAAGTGCATTGTCCACCAGATCTCTGAACAGTTTAACTTCTACCTGCCTTGCGTTGTAGGCTTCTTGAGCGTATTCCACAAGCGCCGCCATCGTCTCCACATATTGTTCCTTGTACCTACAGCATGAAGTAACTAACATCTATTCTTAAAGTAGGATAAACACGATTCAATGAATAGGAGAAACAATTGACGAGTATGACTACAAAAATCAAACAAAAAAATGGGACCCAGCTGCAAGCACTACCTTTTGGATACAAAAAGAATAATCAAAATCGGTCCACTAGCCGCGAAGTTATGCCGTCACACATAAAAAAAAATAAAAAAAACGTACAGACGAATTGAGTACCTCCTTCTTTTGGGAAGTCGGTCAAAAAATGCGTAGTAACGACTAAAGCCCAACACTTATTGACCCTAACGACTTATGAAAAATTTTCTGCGGATCGGATGCTATGACATGTCTGATCAAAATCTCTCGCACCACGCATCTTCTCGACTGACTTACTGAGTCCATATATCATTATAATATTTAGAAAAATGAAATGTGAAATTTACTCTTCATAGAAATTCAACAGCTCTCCACCGAGCTTCAGCAGTAGAGAACCATCGGGATCCTTCTGGAACATGGAGTCCAGTAGTTCAGGACCACTCAGGTACTCCACAAACGATAGCGCATAGAATTCGACTTTCGCGTCGTATTCCTCTTTAGCTATTCTTTCCTTTTCAGCTTTTTCATCAGATTCATCCAACCTTCGTAACAAACCCCTGCCGAAAAACATATAACTTTCTTTCTCATAATATACTAAACAGCATCGGAGTTACGGTATGACAAATGGACTGCCCAGGACGTTGAAAATAAAAGACGCCACTGGCGCCTAAAATATCGCATGTATGGGTTAGTTTAGCTATTCTGTTCAATTCAGTTTCTTGTCTATGGCACTCCCTTAGCGGATTGGGCGAGTGTCGAGTGTTTATGGTTTTATTCTTTTTCGGAATTGTATAGCTATTATGGTTGCAGGTAGAAATCAGGACGCTGGTAATACTTTAAATGGCACTGCAAACTACTGTCTTTCAAATAGTAACACTGATCGATTGCAAGGATAATATAAACTATGCTTATTAAATATGAGGTTTCTAATGGTAAATTATTAGTTATCGAGCAAGCAGTTTTGAATTACAACATTGCACTAACCTAAATAAAGCAACACCACTCTCTCTTTCTTCCTCCGTAATTATTTTGTAATCCAAATATGTTACTTTAGTCAAAGCGGATTTGAGAAATTGATAAGCCATAGGATCGTCGCAGCAAGGGTTACCTCTAAAACTTACAGACCGGAGGAACCGAAACCTTCTCAAGTACGCCATCTACACAAAATGCTTTATTCATCAAACATTTATTAAAAAAAAAAAAAACTTTCTATGAAGCTCTTTAAGCTTATCTTTATGTTTACCTCTTTATAATCTTCAATTAAATTATCTCCAATACTAAATACGAGTAGTTTAGTAATCGAGTCTAAATTTTCTAGTTTCCTTATTTTATTGTGAAACAAAGTTAAAATTTCTAAATTGACCAATGCATCCAAGTTTTCAATCCTTTCTATCTTGTTGAAAGATAAATCTAATTCATTTAAGCCTGTTAATAATTCGAGATTTTCTATTTTTTCAATCAAGTTGTGGGCTAAAGTTAGCTTTGTAAGTGATTTTAACATCCAAAGATGATCGATTCTTAGTATGTTTTGAAATTCGAGTCGAACTATTGTTGCCTCGTCTATATGGACACCTTCTTCCGCGAATAGTCTTCCCGCTTCTTCAGTAGGTCCTATATTTTAATTTCATTAATAGTGTACCATAATTACATTGTTATTAGAAATAGGCGCATTCAATAATTAAAAAATACTGGCAAGCGGTAGTTACAAGAACGCATCCATAACTATCTAATTTTAATTTAAGCAAAATTGAATCTTACCGTATTCTAGAATACATCGGGTTATCATAGCATTATCTATAACTCCGGGTTCAATGTCTGGATGAATAATAAGACTATTCAAAGATTTCTTTTCAGTCATCTTTCAAACTTATAGATGCTGAGAAAATATTAACTTTGATATTAATTACTTTAACTTTAATGGATTAGCTACTATAGTTTTCTGCTGTGCTGCTTGCCTTTGTCTGAAAACACCAAGTTTTTAGAAGCACATAGGAAAAATATACAATGAATCCATAGCAACGGTAATGGATTATGATTGACATATCTTTTTATCGATGACAGGAGAAAAAAGTTTTTCGGGTTGTTTTTATTTTAAAGTAAATATTTATATAGGATGTATAAAACGCCCAAGGATATACTTAATAAAAAGTAAGTTTAAACAAACTCGTAATGCTTGTTGTAGCTTACATTCAATTTGTATGTTTAAATTATTGCGCGAACAATTTAAATAATTGCCATATGAAAATATAAAGGTTTTTTTGGTAACTCCAATATCACAACAATTGCTTTATTACAGGTTGTTACTTGGGAGAAAGTTAAAAAAAACAGTAAATAACGACATGTTTTCATATAAAATTGTTTATTAATTAAGTCGTGATATACGCGACACTTTTTCAGTTTATGTGAAATAATGATGTCAACACTGTGTACCGTGTGTCACTTACTGGATGTTTCTGATTTTGACATTTCGTAATTGCGTTGATAGTAGTGACAAGTGAAATCGAAGGACTTTTGTGATAAATATTGGAAAAAACTCAAAATGTCCTTTTTTGGGGTAGGAAATCCTTTTGCTACGCCGGTTGGTCAAAAAATAGGTGCGTAAGAATTGTTATCCTCTTAAATTAATTAGTGTTTCGTAATATTCTCTATTCTTTCGTGTACGTTTTCTCTTCTTTTGTTGCGTACAATTTCTTCATAATTACAATTTCCACTTACCACACCAGAATATCACTCACCAATAAGTTTAGTTAAGAACAAATCAAGCTAGTTAGTATTCTTGAAATAGTAATTCTTCGCGGAAAAAATGTCATTTGACGCAATGATGTTAATGATTTTGACCCTTTGTATTTATTACGAACATTGGCTTACAGAACAAGCCACAGATGGCTCTCTACCGTCAGAAAATTGGGCTTTAAATATGGAAATATGTGATATAATTAACAGTAGTGCTGATGGACCAAAAGATGCAATTAAAGCCATTAGAAAAAGGCTGACCCAAAGTGCTGGAAGGAACTATACTGTGGTCATGTACACTCTGACTGTACTAGAAACCTGTGTGAAAAATTGTGGAAAATCTTTGCACATTTTAGTCTGCAATAAGGAATTTATTTCCGACTTGGTAAGTAAACACTACAATATATTTAAAAACACTTAATTCTCATACATATAAATATAATTTTGAATCGATTTAATAACTCTTAACTAGACTTTAACTAATATTTCTTCATCTTTGTATGAAATTATCTTATATTCTATAAATTTTAGGTATGCTTGTTATTTATTTATCATAATTAAAAATTAAAAATTTTGTCATAGACAAAGGTTAGTACATTTTTAACAATGTTAAAAAATAAATAATACTTTGGTAGTTTTTGCAAAAATCAAAATAGTGTTATAAATATAACAGACAGGTATTGCAGATAATAGTATTAGCAATGTCTTTGCACTGCAAAGTTTATCTGATTATGAGTTTCTTCACCTCTGTTCACTACTCTATGGCTGTGATATGTGACAATTATCAACTATAATCTAATCAGAATAGCTTGTCTGTGAACAAATAACACATAGATAATAATATACACTACTTGTATACTTTATATTCTACTATTTTTATCACATTGTTAGCTACTTTATGTTATGTATTTTGTAAATAGTAAATTAGAGCAGCCAGAGTTCATAAAGATATGTATTTTAGCTAAATTTAATCTTGTTCATGTGACATACTTTTACATTTTTGCTTACTATGGTGTTTTAAATCCACTATAGAGAACATGCTGTGATTGTATTTAAAAAATAAAAAATAGATAAATTCTACAATGTGTTATATGTAGATATCTGTCTACACCATTTAAGTTTAAGATGGTCCATAATATTGTATCAATAGTTCTTTTATATCTTATCTGTTTTAATTGAATGACTCATTATGACATTGACCTCCTAATAATTACATTAATTACATCATTAAATGAAGGTAAAGTACTAATTGAACAAACTACCCAATCTACTTTTCTATATAAAGAGAGTATACAAAACATTTATAGAAACATTTATTGTTATTTTAGATAAGTTTGTTTATCATTAAAAAGATTTAAGTGTTAGTTGTAAACAAGTTTTAAGTATTATATTAATAAAGCTATTATAGTATAGTAATGGCTGTTTGTGTAGACGTCTTCATGAATATCTTTGACACTCATATATGCACACCTGTGTATGTAAACTAGATACCACTGATACTGAAATATGAAGCTAATAGCTTGCGCTCGCAACTGTTTCTGCATGGAATTAAAAAACAACAAAAGCAGGAAGCCTATGTGTTCTGCCAGACTATCCTCTATGTCTATACCAAATTTTATCAAGATCTATCAACTGTTTAGGCTATAATTTTTAAGAAACATCTATTCATTCATATAAGCATATATAATATTAGTAAGATTTACATTTGCTTAAAGGGAATAAGTGGGATTACTTGTTTTTGTACAGGAGCGTAAGTTTAAATTCATGCTAACATATGAACAAAATTGTCCATATTAGCTAACATTCACTAACACATAAATAGTTCACCTCTACCAATGTAATATAGCCACTATCAAGCAACAAAACAACTAAAAGTATCTAATATGCAAATTAAATATTTTCATGTTATAAATATACACGGAAGGTGATGTTAGCCTAGTATTTTCGCTGACATATCTACAGTCGAACACAATCTTACAAATAAATTTCTATTAACCAATTGTTACATTAAAAAAAAAGTATATTAACATTGTAAATATTTAAGGTACAAAAAACATATATTTAAATTAGAATGTACTTAAATTTTAAGACATTTTAATCTTTTTTACTTGTATTGATAGTTATGTTTATTTTCAGGTCAAACTTATTGGACCTAAAAACGATCCCCCTACGGTAGTGCAAGAGAAAGTATTGAGCCTTATCCAGTGTTGGGCAGACGCTTTCCAGAATCAACCGGAATTACAGGTAAGGGTTTATTTGCACTGTGAATAGTCGCGCACATTTCTAAGGTCCGCTAAGCAAGTGGAATTATGCTTTAAATTGTTACAAGAAGTTACGACAATACTGTTTTCGAAGTTTTAATGCGGAGTTTGTAAGCCGATTACGTTGTTCACCTACTTTATAAGTTGTCATTTAAACATCCGATATGTTTGTTTGTCGTATGACCTTGAGAATTACGAAAACAATGTGAATGTAGCCTAATATGTAATTTATTTCCACAAAATCAGGTTTTTATCGCATAATTCTGGTCTCACGAATAAATATCTGCTTTTAAAATTATTTTATACATTACAAGCTTATAGACAATATTTCAAGTGGATAAAAATCTTTGCCGACTATAGAAAGCAATTTGCATTTGCGTCATGTTTAATAAAGTTATTATTGAATTTCTGGTCATATATTCCGTGCTTTGAATTTCTCAACTTATCCTAGCGCCCTTGATTTTCAATAACAGTCAAATACCCGGTTTCTGAAAGACTTGTCAAACTGGAAAATAATTCTAGTCTAAATGAATTTAGTTATCACAAATAGATCGAGTTAGAACTTTATATTTTATTTTTTATATCCAATGTAATTTAATTATATATCTTACTTCTTACTAATATTGTAAATGCGAAAGTTTAGATGGATCGATGTTTGTTAGAGTTTGTAGCCTAAACCGCTGAACCGATCTCGATAAAATTTAGCATAGATGTAGTCGATAATCTGGAAGAACACATAGGCTACTTGCTTTAATTTTTTTTAATTCCACGCGGACGGATTCGCGGGCGAAAGCTGGTCTTTATAAGAAAAGATGAATTTCGTAATAATTTAAATTTGTGTCCTAGGTTTTAATGGGTAGGTTCGATCAGCTACTGACCGAATGTTATTGAAACCTAACGTATTGTTTTGCGGTTAATGTCATTGTTTATATCAACCGGGTTGTGAAATAATATATGAAGTCACCTAGTTAATGTCTTATTCCACATAGCGATTACACGCGCGTGATAGGTCACTCGTATGTCGTTAAAGTAGTCGGGGCCGCACCAGTGGAAATAGGACGCCATAAATGCCGGTTTCGTACAATCAGTAACTAAATACCGAACTCTGAGTGGTGACAACGTCCACTGGAGTAGATTTATTGACATTAATTTACAATAAACTAACATTTAAGAAACAATAAATCTGGAGTGGTAGTTTTTTTGCCGAATTTAAGGTTTCAAGTAATGTTGCAACGAGCTGTCGCCCGCAAACTTCGTTAGCGCAAATTGGACCACCCGTTACGCCATTTGACAGTGCAGAATTAAAAAAAAAGTAGTCTATAATATGCCAGTCCATGTCAGCTACCCTTCAGTAAAAGTCCGGTTGATATCTGCCCAGCCGTTTTTGAGAATACCCGGAACAAACGCGGCTTGCGGACAGACACAAAATTTATTAAATGCGATTTTCGTTACCAGCAACGCAAATACATCATCTTCCCGAAATCTGGAATTTTTCTGTTGATATTACAAACAGACACTCCAATTTTGTTATACGTATAGAAGATAATTAAAAATTGTTGTAACTTAACAATTTTTTCCATTCTTAAATTCACATTATCGTATAATCTTTACGATTGGTATACAACGTGTAAAAGTTTCGATTGACTGCGATAACTGGAGATTTTTTGTATCTATCTTTCATATCAGTTGTGATTCATAAATCTATTATTTGCGACTTAATGTTTACCTTTCTCATCAAAATCTGGTCTTTGTAAAGGACCAATCGAATCAATTTCATGTAAAATTAGCAATATTAAAAAAATCTAAATGAGAGCTAAGGCAGTTTAAAATTATTTAGTATCTGTATTAAACTCTACAGTACTCTTTATTTATTCGTTGTTTATTTTCTTTTCCAGGGTGTCGGACAAATTTACAATGAACTCCGCTCCAAAGGAGTTGAGTTCCCGATGACGGATCTAGATGCCATGGCTCCTATTTTTACGCCACAGCGGGTAAGTTATATTTAAATAAAAATGAGACTGTATTGATTTATTATCTGTGTACGATCAAATATCACATAGCAAATAGTTAATATAAGAGCTAAATAATTCAACATATATTTATAGTATGTAGGCAATTTTTAGTAAGACTTTTAATGTGGGTTGGAAATTAAAGTCTTCAACGGCACAGGGTTTTTTTTACCATTTGTGCTATATTTTTGAAAATATTTATGACTAGCTTTCGCTCAACCCCGTTCATGTGGAATTAAAACAAAACAAAACTAAGTGTTCTACCAGACTATTCTCTACGTCTATACTAAATTTCATCCAAATTCAAATTCTAACAAATATCCATCCATTTAAACTTTCTCATTTATAATATTAGTATGATTGATGTTTATTAATAGGATAGTTATTTACCAGAGTGTTCCTGACGGCGCGGAGCAGCCAGTAGGGTCTCCGCAGCGCGCGGCGCCGCACTCGCCCTCAGCACAGCTGCAGGAGAACAACATGGCCACGGTAAATATTACTACATTGCTGAAAATATTCACATAAAACTTGTAAGAATGGTATATTCAAATTGCAAAGGACAATTTTAAAAATAACAAAACAGCTTAACTCACATGAAATTTCGGTATAGTCACCAACCTTTAAGTGTCTTTTTGCAAATCTGTCTTATTATCGGTATTACTATTTCATTGAGTAAATAGCTTTATTCTAATTTTTTACAACATAACTATGTCCAAACGTAAGTACAGTTAGAGACTTTGCCGGTGACCCTTAATGGTATACGTTTATTTTTGGTTCAATAACTTCATAAAATGAGTTTACAAACTACGTAACTTGAGTTTTACTCATTTGAAACTTAGGTTAACATGAATCACTAAGTTATGACAAAATAAGTGCAAACTTCAGAAACCCTGCATAAATTCTTTTTATTATCCCATTGTTTGTGCAACGCACTAAACTATCTAGTTCATTGTTTGTAAAACGCTTGGTTTGTTTTTTGTTACACATAAATGTATGATAATAAGAGGAAAAAGATATGTATAAACAAAATAAAAAAAAAACGCAAAGAATAAAGTTAGTGAACATATTCCATGCCACATCCAGTATATTATGTCTCGATGCAACTTGATAATAGTTTAGTTTGTATACGTTAATGTTTCGTACTCGCATTTACTGAATGTATATTAAATTGTCAGTATGCTTGAACAAAATATATTTAGCATAAGTAAGTAAATTGTAAATTTTTATTAAGGTAAAAAAATATTATTAAAGCACAAATCAAAGCAAATTCTATAAGTGTGCCACCGCGAATGTCCCTAACTGTACTTTCAGGTGACATTGTCAGAGAGTCAGATGAGCAAACTGCGCGGCGACCTGTCGGTGGTGGAGGGCAACCTGGCGGTGATGGGCGACATGCTCAACGAGCTCACAGCGCAGCCTCCACACAACCACCACGACAGCGATGTTGAATTGCTCAACGTAAGTACTTAACACACTCATCAACATACACTTGGCTAGTACTACGACAATAGTATTTTTTTAACCTTCTGCTGGTAACCAAAAAAATTACATGAAAGAAACCAGCCGTTAAGCTAAAATATAAAATAAAACCGAAATTTTTTTTTGCGCCTAAAATTTGACCGCAGTGTGAAGTAAGTGAGACTGTGAATAAGACCATAGATAATAAAAATTGCCACATCTAGATCAGTCTGGGGACGTCCATGCGTATTGGGTTTATTGTAATTTGTGTAACTCTGTATGGTGGTGGTGTGCAGGAGCTGGCGGAGACGCTGCGCGCGATGCAGCAGCGGCTGGTGGAGCTGGTGGCGCGACTGGCCGGCGAGAGCCCGCTCACCGCAGACCTGCTGCTCGCCAACGACCGCCTCAACAACCTGCTGCTGCGCCACTCGCGCTTCCTCAACAACAGGTCTATACTGCACCAGTACTGACGTCACACCTCACTACGCCTCCACTGTCACTTGTTCTGTAGTGACGCGTTATTTGTCCTTACATGACACATCACTAGTCCTTAAGTGACACATCACTAGTTCTCAAGTGAGACATCACTAGTCCTTAAGTGACACATCGCTAGGCCTTAAGTGACCCATCACAAGTCCTTAAGTGATACATCAAGAGTACAGAAGTGATACGTCACTGATTCCAAAGTGGCACGTCACTAGTCCTAGAGCGATATGTAACTTACTCACAGAAACTCTGAGTACGTCACTGTAAACTAAGTATGAGAAATCTACACTACTATAAGGAATCCTTTAGTGTCCAATTAAAGAATTTGTAAATTATAATTAGAATTGCCCGAGTTTTAGCAACGTTTATAAGGAAAGCTTCATGAATTACCTTTATAGAAATTTTAATTATATTTAACTTTTAATGGTCATTGCGACAATTTATGACAAAATCCGTATTTACTATTCTTTCGTATTGTATATTGTAATTTTAGTATTGTTTAAAATTTTATATTAGGAACGCGGCAAAGGCAGGTGCGACGCCGTCGGCCATTTTGGGCGCGGCCATGGGCGTTCCCGGCACTGATACACGTTAGTGTCACATGTTTTCATATTTTATTTATTTATATATACAACTAAAAAGTATTTGGAACAATTTTAAATAGATACATTAATTTGTTTGAATTTAATTCCAGCAAAAACAGGCGATGACGATGCGCTTATTGACCTGAGTGACGACGTGCCCGATGTCAGCAAACTGAGTAAGATTTTTAAAATAATTTAACTACACTAATTTATGTATATTGTGAGAAAGGAAATTTTTCAAAAACAATTAATAATTTTCTTTCCATTATTAAGCTACATTATAAATAATAATGTACGCTATATTTATTATTAATACATATTTAAAACAGTTTATAGGAAAAGGTCGTTATAACCCGTTTAAATTAAATTTAAAAAATATGTAAATTCTATTATTTTCTGTCAAATTTTATTGAGATTCGTTAAATTACAAAAACTAATAAATATGCTTTCTAAATTTTCGCATTTATAATATTAGTAAGATGAATTGTCCATTTAATTATGAAAGTGGAGGGGTAGACATAGAAAGAGATAGATGGATTGCGTAAAAGAGATGAAGGATGATAGAGTTATTTGGAGGAAGAAACCCCGACACGACGGGAGTAGGATAATGCAGAGGTGATGATGAATTGTCCATTTAAGGTATAATTTGTATGTCAGGTGTGCAGGCCGCGCCCGCAGACAAGTCTCCGAGCTCCAAGGACGAGTTCGATATGTTCGCTCAGTCCCGCAACCTCACATATGAAAATACTAAAACTGGGCAAGTATATACTAAAACTCACATATTAACAGAGACAATCACAATTAATAAAAGTGTTACTATCACAGTTAAAAACGGAAAATAACATATTTTCAAACTAGCTGTTGCTCACAACTTCGACCGCGTAAAATAATAAAATATATCCCATGTTACTCATTGAGAACATAGCTTTTTGGTGCAAGAATTTTTAAAATCGGGCCAGTAGTTTTTGAGTTATTGCAATATGTACAAAAATGCAAATCTTTTCTCTTTATAGCATAGATGTAAATAAAAATGATCACCCAAGTGTTGGTAAAAAGGCCGTATTGTTGCCGAAAAAATGAGACATTATTGCATAAGATAGAAAGAGATAGATAGTAGATTGTCAACTCCATACTCCATAGTCGTTTTTAATGTGATGAATGATGTTTCCGTGCGACTTTAACCACATATAATTACGAAAATATTATTTTATTTTTTACATATGTCAAATTATAATTGCAAATGTCAAAATGACATAACATGATGACAAACCGTATCAACCTTGCTTCTTTAATGTTGGCAGATTGTAGTTTATGATCCCTTTCCCACATGAAGTTTTTTTCCAATTTATTTATCCCCAAGTTTAGTAGCGTAAAAATATATAGCTTAAAGCGTGACGTAAGTGTAGGGATTTACATTCAAAAAAGAATTATTCAAAAATATGCTGTAATTACTGCCATCTTAGGAAAAAAAGGAGTGTGTTTACACTTTATTATATTAGTATAGATATAGATTATATGGTGATTATTAAAAATCAGTCTTACATAACTATACTGGTTTGTAAGATATATAAATTTATATTGAAAATAATGAGTTTGGGTTAATTAGTTAAGTAATATATTTGTATTTGTTTGCAGCGGCAGCAGTTACGCGGACAACGCCAGCGAGCAGAGCAGCGCGGGGCTGGCCGCCGCCGCGCACAACCACCCGCTGGTATACTTTCTTATATGCTACAGAAATTATTAAGGGGGTTATGATATAATAGGGGGGGAGGGTAGTAACACAAATGGTAATAATAATAATAATAATAATAAAGCCTCTTTATTTCCATATCTAAGATTTTTATAATTGATTTACATAGTATTTGTTAGTATTGTTAGT